GTTACTTCCAGATGCTCTTCGGGGAACAAGTATAGTGGAAGCGGCAGGTATTCTAGTACCACTAGGTAATTTGGGGTCTTCTGGAGAGCTCCTAGACCTATCTGCACCTGAACTCTCACTTGGTGGAGTTAATCCAGATTGCATCTTTTACCACGGGACCAGCACGAATGGGTCCTGGCGCGAGCGGATGCTCAAGCACCTCCCAGTGAAACAACAAGACAAGACACAGACGACCAAAGACACGGATGTGTCAAATGAGACGCGTTACTGGGTGTGCGGGTGCACAACCTCAGGCAAAATGAAAGACACTGACAGGCAAAACTATACAAGGGCGAGCAATTGCTCAAGCCCCTTCCGCCTCGCCGGATGTGAAGTTGGATGCCGATGAAGTTCAAGCCACAAGAAAGCTAATTCCTACGGCGAGAGAATTGGTCTCCCCTCAAAGGCACCGGCGCGTGGTTGCGCAAAAAGTAATCCACCCCCTTATCCTTGACCGCACTTTCCAATTGGGGCCACCAACTCAATGTGTGGGACTTGTATACACAAATCGTAAAGATGTTGGCGCGTGCAGCCTCGTCGCAGACGTCTTGACGATCGTCAAGATGTATGTTTGCGCCGCTAGATGTAAGGACGGGTGTCTTGCCCCCAGGACCCACTGGGTCGTTAACTATAGTCACTGACCTAAATGGAAGGCCTTGTGATCTACAGAACTCCGCCAGATTGTTGGCGTCTTCTTCCGTTTGGCGGCCACGGGCTACGCCGGAGAAAGACACAATGTGGAACTCGATCCTGCCCTGTGCAAGCTGTACAAGGTTCACGAACTTATCCACAATAGAACGATCAAACACACCAAGGGCGTTTCTAGCGCAGTCGAGGGTGTCGTGCCAATCGAAAAACACGACTAGATTCCTGCCACCTACACCTTGCTCTTGACGAGCTCGGATTAAAGGGCCTAAATCTATTCTACCCCCTGGCGCGCGAAACGCAGCACCTGCCTTACCGCTAGTAGGGACGGATGCTGTTGTTGTAGAAGTCGCCTTAGGTGGTCGCGGCGGTGGTGTTGGAGGTGTCGACACTGGTGTTGCAGGTGGACTAGGTTTTGGGGACGCGGTCTTATGGGCTTTTGGCACAGGACGATCGGGTCTAGGGGGAACCACAACAGGAGGTTGTTTAGCAGGAGGCTTAACTTTATTATGTTTTTGCTTCTGCTTTTCCGATTGATGGTATGCCTCTAGTGCTTGGCGATGTTTGCGATCGGCAAGTGACTCTACGTGTCTTTCCCAATCTTTATCCTGTCGTTCTTTTGAACGTGCCCAGGCCGCGTTGAGCTCCTCTTCGGTAGGCGCTGGTGGATCTGGATCAACACCTGGCTCGTAAGCTTGGCCAACAGTTACGGAGTAGTTATAGGGAGGTCTTGGAGGAGCCTTATACTTCTTTTTGATTGGAGGACCTCCTTGGGGCGCACGTGCAGCCCCTTCCCGCCAGGGTGGAACTGCTGATGCGGACCTACTTGCTGCACTAACTCCGGGTGGAGGCGGCTTAACACTAGCTGGTTGGGATGATGATCTAGGTGGCGGCGAACCTATTGATTTTGGAGGAGTCTTAGGTGTTGGGATATCAGGTACAAAAACTTGGGCTTTGGTGCCGTCTCGAAAGATTTGGGTTTGGATTGTACCTGAAACTCTTGTTGAAGAAGTTGTTACGGCAACTGGAGCCTCTTCCTCAGCTGTTGTGTCCCTGTGACGAGATCTCGAACGTTCAGCACCTTCTGCACTGGGTGACAAAAACCTACTAACACTACCTCTAGTAGTTGGAGCTTTCGGCGATGTCTGCGATGGTGTGCTGGGTTCTTGAGGCGCTAAGGGAGCAGCCCCTTCCTCAACTTCTACTTCAACCTCAACTTCCTCCTCGCCCTCGGGAGGGGCTTCAGGAGGGTCAGATGAGTGATCCTCTTCCTCTTCACCTTCTGGTTCACCTTCAAAGGGATCTGGGTCCTCGTCCGGTGCCTCGGGTTCAGATGGAGGCCCACCTGGCGCAGCGGCAGTTGATGTTGGTTCGGGTTGAGGAACTGATCTACGTCGAGATTGGTAAACCTGCCTACGCCCAGAAGAAGTTGTTGTAACAATAGCCCTTCTTTTTGGTGGAGGAACTGTAGTTTCTTCTTCTTCTTCTTCAACCCCTTCCACAGCTTCTGAATCAACGGCAACTAGGCCTTCAGGTTCTGAGATCGGGATTACCTGGGTATTATGGGAGGATACCAATGCAGTGTTGCTACCAACCAATGACGGATCACGCCAAACTTCGTCAGCAAGTTCGTGTGGATCAACGGATGATGTAGCAGTGCCAGGAATGGCAACAGGAACGGTGGTGGGTTCCCTACCTGCAGAGCCAGGCGGCTTTGAGATACGCACCCAAGTGCCCTCAGAGTTTATTATCACAGGAGGATAATTATTATCAGTGGGTCTTAGGGCTATTGGTCGGGAACTAAGACTAGGGGTACCCAAGTTACCACCCCTTGCACGGCGCAACACCTCAGTGTCCTGATCTGCAAAAGAACCGTCAGCTCTCGGGGTGAGAGTGGCAGGAACTCGTGATCTAGATCGGCTTACTGGCTTAGGCGCAGCGGGTGCTGACGCAGCTGGGGTCTTATCGATGTTACCACCCTTAACTGTTCGGGCAGGGGGTGTGCCAGCTCTCTCACGTGGTCTCCCACGCTCTGCCTTATCCAAGTCAGCCGCCGATGGCGGTGGATGAGATGGTGGCGGAGGGATCGCTGTTGCAGCTCCTTCTCCTTTTGGCGTTGCAGCTCTTGGCGGCCGCTTTGGAGGAGGTCCTAAAGTTTGATGGAAATCTCGATGTACAGGCACCGGTGGTGCTGGATAACTAGGTGCGGGTCCTAATCTTTTTAAAGGATTATCCTTAGGGGGCTTAGCAACTTTGGGGTCCGATGCTTTAGGCTCAGCCGGTTCTGGCACGGATGCTTTGCCGGATGCTTTTGGATCGGATGGTTGCTCAGCCTTTTCAGGTTTAGGGCGCTTTTCAGCAGCCCCTCCCGTGGTACGTGGCGGCGGAACACTGGCTACTGACTCTGAAACTTTCGGAGCGGGTTGATGGCCTGCAGGTCGAAGGGATGGCACCCACGGCGGTGGATGACTAGGCTCCTTAGGTTCTGACCCTGGCTTAGGCCTAGCTTTAGCCTTCGGTGGGCCCCTTGGTGATGGAGTGTGGGTTTCTTCAGAAGAACTAACACCCCTATCTAATGTTGGGTCAACACCTAATGCTGCAGCTTGCTCGGATCCAGATGGTAGTTCAGTATTTTGGGTGAACACGCTAGCTTTGGCTTTTGCCTTACCTTTTGGTTGGGGACCCCTATAAGTATCGTAGTCGTCCCAAACGGATCTAGGTGGATCTGGGTCCCCAAAAGCTTGCAAGTTAATGTGATCCCTATCAGGTAGCACAGTATTTGCAGCAGTATCTGAAGCCAGATGTAATTCACCTTTTCGATATCCGTTGGTAAAAACCCAATTTCTATAAGGTGCAAAGGTATTAGCAAGATGGACTAAGATTTGATTTAGCGTACAATGATTGTAGAGGACTCTAAAGACACGGACAGTCCAGATCAGTTCAGCGGATGCTTCTGAGTGGTGGACGTACCTGAGCCAAAATTCTGCCTCGTTCCAAAGAAAGTCAGCTAGCTTATCAAAGTCGGATTGCCAACGCTGTATAAGCCTTTTGGTCTGGGCTTTCTTCCCGCCTTTGGTTCCACGTACACGGGGACCTCTGGACGGTCCTGCAGGAGAATGGCCTGTTTGGACGTGCCCAGTTGTTGAGGCGCCTGCGGCAGCCCCTTCCTGCTCAAGAAACGGAGATGTTGGGGGCGGCGGGACTTCGTCCTCTTCCGCTGTCCCTCCAAGGTGTTGGACGTATACCGGAGCAAATGTCGAATTAGGATCTGGCTCAACTACGGATGGAGAGCTTCCTACAATCGGATCTGCGGCGGAGTCTGGAACCTCAGCACTAGTTTCCTGATCAGGGTTATTGGAAAAATCAGCTTCTTCTTTTGGAATTAGATTTTCGGGGTTATCACCTTCGAGATTATTTTCTGCTTCGATCTGTTCGGATGCCTCAAGCTGTTCGGCTGGCTCGGCGGTGGGATCGAGGTCGGCCTCAAGTGCTTCAAACAACTGTTCAGTAGTGACCACTTCCTCCGGTTTTGGATCCAAAAGGGACAGTGCGTCAAACTTCAAGATGTCAAAGTCCTCGTCGTCGTCCTCTAGGGCGCTGGACGCAGCCCCTCCCACGTGAAAACCAGCTGACGGCACGGGCGGGTCCTCAGAGGCGTCTGCCCAGTTGAACCCGGTACTTCCTTCAACAGTGACTTCAGCGCTTTCAGCAGCTTCCGCCTCTGCTTCCGGGTTCCCTTCGGCAACCGGTACGGAGGCGCTCAAAGCAGCCTCCTCCAACAGACCCTCTGGTACCATAAAAAGGTGAAACAGGAAATCAGCGAAAAGTGAAAGGCAGTGAACGAGGTTGCGTGGGGCCTAAGTTACCGACAAGGGAGATTAAGACTTTCCCAGCAAAGGAACACTAAGCCAATACGGCTGATAACCAGAGAAACAAGGGGAAAAACAGGAAAACAAAACCAGTTAAACTCCCTTGTCCCAAGATCATTACAAGCCGCTACTTTTATGCTCGCGACTTGAGCCAAGGTAGTTGCAAAGGCTATTATGTTGAACCCGCTGGTTAAAGGTGGGGACAACAATTCCTAAGCTATACAATGGCTCTACCTACAGCTAACGCTTCTAGCTACAGGTTGTCATTAAGATTGTGGTGACTGTACAATCTATTGGAAAGTTGGAATCATAGCTACAGTGTGGAGTGAGCTAATACTAGTATATACAGTGGTGGTATAGGGGTCGTGATATTTCTACTACATATTGATGTATAATTGTTGGCAATATTGGCTATGGGGCCGTGCATGGCGTTTGACCTCTGCACGCCTGAAGATGTTTGCGGCTGAGGCTGAATCGTTGCATCCTGGTCCAAAAAGCTGAGGCACAAAGCTCAAAGAAGGGCAAGAAACGATCAAGAAATGACTCAAAAATGACTCAAAAATGACTCAAAACTTCCAAGAAATATCAAGAGATCTTATGCAAAAATGTTCCATGACTGGATTTTGCCGCAGTTTGTGTGTTGCACCCGGTCTCGCCTGCTTCTCTCGAGCTGCTCGTCGAGCAAGATTGATCTGATGCTTCTTGCCCTGGGTGTGCGCCAGGTAACTTCCTGAAAGGATTGGTTTCAAAATGTTCCAGATATCCAGCATCAAATGCTTGACTTGAAAGCGTTTCAAAGACGAAACTGAAAGAAGTGAATAAACACTGATCAGTCGCGATGGTGGTTTGAACAAGTTGAAGATCGTGGCTGGATCTACAAGATGGAACCACTCTACAAAGCTTCCCCTCTTCGCTGTCAGTCCTTCATTGGTGTGAAGGGTCAGGCATAATTTGCACTCGTAGCTGCCAAGGTGATTTCGCAAGAAGTATGGATCCTGGAACAACTTCAGCAACAAATGGCGGTTCACTTGCTGTAAATCCTTTAAAGAAACAGCCCACTGCGTGTTTTCAAGCGTCCTTCTAGCTTCGCAGAAAGCCTTGTGTAACTTTTGGTTTCAAGTGTCTTCAGCACAGTACATGCTACGTATTGCTACATGCTCTTGTCATCCAAAGGCAAAATATGGCAAAGAGCTCTGAGAGCTTTGGAATCAGGATTTGGACATATTTGGACCCTTTGTTTAAGTATTTGAAGTTCCGATATCTTCGGATATGTTTCGTGTGTTGCGTTGTGTCCTTGGAGAGATCGATCGTTTCCAGGGCAAGCTTTCGTAGTCGCTCACGCCTGCACTTTGTGTTCAGTTTGGGCTCAGTTTGCCGTATGAGCGACACTGTGCGACGGCATCTTCACATCTTCACATCTTCACACTTTGCATATTTCATCATAGATTTCATAGATCAATATAGATCAATAGTAAATCAATATTAATCATACATTTCTTTGCTACAAATCCGAACCTGTCTGCGGCAATCTCCTGATCTGTAGCGGGACCTACCAGGTTGTCAGCTGATGTCAGTTCAACGAAGACCAACATGCTGGTTGATAGGTTTGAAACAAGCGTGTGATCACACTGCAACGACTCTCTCCCAGTCTTCTCTATGTAAGTCTGTCCAATTCTTTGCCAAACCGGAGCATCGACATACATCAACATCCATCAACATATATCAAATGGATTCAAATGTCATGGAACATCATGGAACATCATGGAACAACGGCACTTTGAATCACTTTGAAGCGCACCTGCTGTGCCGAACTTGTGACCGACACGGTTCTGGAAATCCATGGCTGCTTGGGGGTCACCGCCCTCAACGGAGTCAGCTCAAAAGGTCCTTGGAGCGACCAAAATGTCGTCGTTTGAACGTGGAACGCCGCTTCTTTCGCATCCAGGTAACCAACCAACGCCAACAAATCACAAAGTCTAAATCTGAATAGCAGAATCAACTTGAATCAACATGAAAATCACAATATAGGAAACATACGGTGTCTCGGGATGCTTTCGTCTTCGGCCAAGTCGCGTCTTCCGTTGACGACTCGTGGCTGAGCTGAACCAAAACATTGCAGCGCCACATCAAGATTTGAGAGCAAGCCGGGTAGAACAAAGGGATCGAAAGGTTTTTTTGGTGTCAGAGTTGTGACAGTGCAGGTGATGAAAGGGAGAGTGATTAGCACAACTTTTCTGGGATTTTCTGGGGGTGATTCCTGTCAGGATCCAGCAATCAATTTTCTGTCACATGGAGGTGCAACATTCGTTGCATGTATTTGATGTGGATGAGACTCCGTCGCCATGTGCAACTCAGTGGGTTGCATGGTTTCATGGTCAGATTGCTGAATCTACATGATGTCGTTTTATTGCGACAACCGTTACACTGCAGGAAGTGAGTTGATCCAACCTCCCACCCCAACAGCTCGCATCACTTTCTTTTTGGTCGGTGATGCAGCTGTGTTGTTCAGCTGCCAAATGCATTGGACCTTCAGCTGAACCACATCATTTTGGTGGTCCAGCATGCATCTGCTTGTCGTCCTCCATCCACCTCTACCCAGAATTAATCTGGGCGGGTGGGTGTGGAACAAAAACTTCATTGTGCCACTGCTGGGGGAGATCTTGAGCCAAAATGGCATCCCCAGCAGTGGCACTCTTTGTCACTTTGAAAATGTTCCATTTTCATGCACGACAACCGTTACACTGCAGGAAGTGAGTTGATCCAACCTCCCACCCCAACAGCTCGCATCACTTTCTTTTTGGTCGGTGATGCAGCTGTGTTGTTCAGCTGCCAAATGCATTGGACCTTCAGCTGAACCACATCATTTTGGTGGTCCAGCATGCATCTGCTTGTCGTCCTCCTTGCCGTGCGCAGATGCTAAGCATTTCTGACAAGTAACCTTCGTGACCTCTTCATTCGAAAACTCATAGTCTGAATTGTAATAGCCCCACCCGCATGCCGTCTTCCACATGAAGGAGGGGGAGCACAAGAAGATCTTGTTGTTGCGGTGGATGACCTGTGTCCGCGTGGATTTCACCAGCCATGGCAAAAACTTCGTGTATCCGTCAAATTTGGCCTCCAATGCCTGCACCTTTTTGTCGAGTTCGTGAGATTTAGCCTTCGAGCCATCCATGAAGGAGTCGATTTCTGCACGCAGTTTCCCAATCAGTTCAATGTTCGACTGGTGTTGAACGGGAGGCCGCAAGTCGGTGTCCTGCACTTCCTGCGGCGCTTGAAAACCTTCGACGCTGCCGAACAACTTTTTATCTGCATTGAGTGGTATGGATTGCAATGCCTCCTTCGCGTACTCCAAGATCACGTTACTCTTCCACCTGCCCAGGAACGCCACCTGGCTGACTGACCATCCGCTCCTGATATATTGTAATGCGCCCGTTCTGCGTGAAGAGTGGCCTGAAATTTCTTTGCCGTAGAGATCCCTCCAGTCGGCAATCAGCTGTGCCTTCGTTGCCACCGTACCCTCCTCGCTGACTGACAGCGCGGCACCTTCGTTTCCTTGAAGGCAGGCTTGATTCACCAACACCTCCAACACCGCATAGGGGCACGAGATGTCACAGGACCCAGAACAAAGGCATTGAAGCGTCCTGGATATAGTCGCTCCCTCCTGATCCATCTTGGACTCTCGCCACGTGAGCGTGACAAGGCGGGCTCTGTCATCGAATGCCACGTTCCTTGAAGTCAGCGCGGCAATTTCAATTTCTCTCATCATCCAATGCACCCCGCAAGCGAAGAGGAGAGGGGCCCATTTCACCTTACCTTGCTTTGCGCCATCGCCTGGAAGTAAAGGATGTGCTTTCCAAGCGTCTTCGGCGACCTCTGGAGCTTTCTTGGCTGGGCCCACCCCTCGTTTGACTGCCTTCGTGCACAGTTTAAAGTGCCTGTCGAGGAGGTTGGTCCAGTTCCAGCCCTTTTCGATGTGTGCCAGCTTGGCTTCAGCCAAATAGGTGTGGGCTGACTTGTACCCGGAGGTCCTCAGCGCTCCTGCCAAGGCTTGCAACTTATGGGGAGTGAGCGGCATGGCTGACTCATAGGCTGCCCCCAGGATGGAGTGCACCGCGTGTCTCTTAGCCGAACGTGCTACCCTGCTGGAGTTGGCGAAATAGTCGTTCTCCACACTCTCCATAGCTTCCTTCATGGCCTTCTTCGACTTCATCACCTCCATGGCCCTGCGCAAGGAAGGTTTTGAGGACCTTTCTGATGGTTTGACCCTTTTTGGTAGGTCTTTCCGCGTTGATGCCTGGTTTCCTGTCTTGCCAGACGTCTTTGCTCCCTTCCACACTTTCTGTATCACTCCCTTCTTGGGTGACCGAAACTGTGTTTCTTGAGGTTCCGGCAAAGTAAGAGTGCTAGGTTTCGTACCCATGCTTGGGAGATGTTTTCCGGCATCGGCTGCAAACCTTTGGGCTGGAGAGGACAGCAATGCTTTCCACCACGGATGTGCTTTTGCGGGTGACAGCAGGCTGGTGACCCCTGCTAGGATGCTACTCTTTGTTCTCGTCGGAGATCTGCTCCTTGTGGGCGGCTCGTGTGCGCTCTTTGAAGCTGACTCACCTGCTATGCTGTCGCTGCCGCCTTGAGTGTCTTGAGGTGTGCTAGGGCTGGACACTTCACAAACGTCTCCAGTGCTGTGTCTTGCGCCTAATCCAAGACTAGAAAGCACTCCCTGCCTCTCAACTGATGGTGTTCCCATACGTTGGGCCTTCTCGTCACGAATGTCGCCAAGTTGACTGCTTCTTGGTTGGCCAACCGCGACATGGGCAGAGGTTCCGGGTAGGAAGTGCACAAGGGGATGTAGCTCTCGTCCTGGTTGATTGGGTCCTTCGTGCCTGTGGACTTGTTCCGGCAGCACCAACATCTGAAGCAGAGAAGGATGCCCAGTCCCACCAGAAGAAAAGTTGCCACCAGGCTCGGAAAGTGCCATGGCGGCCCACGCATCCAAATTGCTGGCGGCCCTGGCGCTACAAAAGGCACTAAATGAGTCATTGAGCCTGTGCTACATCATGTTATAACCTAAGTAAAGTTTTCAGGATTTCAGTGGAATGGATTGACATGTCAACTCATGAGGTTTGGTTCAGAGGAGACAAATGATGGCCACAGCCTAGCGCGGCCTCCATTTTCCTCGGAGAAATTGTCGGCTGCCGGTCAGCGCAAGGTGGCCCATGCACTTTCGGCGGCCAAGTCAGAAGCCCACAAGGACGGTGCCTCGCCGGGTGTCGGCAAGGCGTAAAATCCACGTCCTCGCGGTGCTGTGCTTTGCACCGGCACCCCTTCCAGTTCTGCTGGGAGTGGTATGGTGCGCTGCTTCACCGGCCGACTGAGATAATCTGCCGTGGTGTTCGCAGCACCTGGTATGTGCGTCGCCTTCAGGCCCTCGATGCCGGCAGTCTCGCAAGCAATCGCCAGTTCGGCTCCGATGAAGTTCAGGCTCGGCGTGGAATTGGCCATCCTCTGCGTCAAGGCCAATGCCACCAAGCTATCTGACTGTATGTGGAGCGTGACGTTGCATGTTGCCAGCTCCCGCGACCAGTGTTTGATGGCTACCAGCACTGCTAAGGCTTCCAAGATGCCTTGAGATGCCGACTCGCCCAAGGGGAACCGTAGTTGTTCGGCGTCCCCGATGAGCACAGGTGATTTGAGTGCCCTTATCACCCTGTTGTTCACCAGCAGCACCGCCCCAATGCCTTCCGGGCTTGCGTCTGTAATGACTGAGGCCGTGGGGTACTTCTTTGTGTCGAGCTTGAACTTCTTTGTAGGTGACTCCATCGCTGAGTTCAAGAACGCCACCATCCAAAGCCTTGCCTGCTCCAGTTGCTTGATGTGGAACATGTTTGACTTGTCCCTGTGGTCCTTCCTTGACTGGCGCCGCTTTTCTTCCTTGCCCTCCTTCACGTCCGCCAGCCTCGTGTGAAGGACCTTGTAAAACACCGCCACCACCCACCTGGCTTTGGGCAGTATCCCGGCTAACCATGCGACTTTCCCGCACACCTGCCGGAGTTCCTTCAAAGAAGCCATGCCTGCCCCCTCCCATCGCTTCAAGATCACCGTCAACTCCTCAATGTATTTGGCAGGAAGGCCCATTATCAGGGCGTCCTCGGTGAGCGTCAGCCTGATGCCAATCCATGCCACTTGAGTTGACCGTTCTCCTTTCTTGAGCGAGACCTTGAAGCCCAGAGCTGCTGCTGTGGTCAGCACCATTGCTAAGTTGGAGTTCCTGGTGTTCAGATCACCTTGCAAGAACCACAGCCCGTCGTCGAGGTAGACTAGATGCTGGCCTTCATGCCCTTCAAGGAGAGACTGTTGGAGCCTTGCCAGCATTGCTGCCGTGCGAGACCACAGCAGAGGCGCCGTCTTGTAGCCAAACAGCAATGCACAAAAGCAGTAGTACTCGCCGTCGATCAAGGAGGGGGTCAACGTGTGCGGAAGCTCCTCGGATGCCACCCCCAAGGACATGAATGCATCTTGAATGTCAATAACGGCCATTTCTCTTGAGACTTCACCTTCGTGCCGTTGAAAATGGCCTCGACGTTCGTAGATGTCTCTGGCCGTCGCGACAGCGTCCCTGGGTCTGGGCAAAGTCAATCTCTCCGGAAGCACCGCCTTCTGGTTTCCCCCGGACCTCCTCAAGTCAATGATGATGCGGCGTTTGGTCCCCTCGGGTTTTTCTTTCACTATCAATCCAAGGCGTGAGATGGTTCCATGCCCCATCGAATTCTGTACTTCCTCCTCCCTGACGTCTTTCATGTAGCCAGCTGCTCGGTAGCGGTCGAGTTCTACCTTCGCGTTGTCCACATCATCCAACACCGACCTGTAGTTGACCAAACTGCCTTTCGACATCTGAGCTGAAGCGTCCTCCAATTCGGCTTCCGTCGTGACGTTGAGGTCGTCTGCGTCGGCCGGTGGGAAGATGCCGCAGGTCTTGATGGGCGTCTGGATTCCCAAAGGTGCCCCGTTCCTGATCCATTTCGGCACCTCGGTTTCTTTGTCTCCTCCTCTTGAAGCCCATGCCTCGATGATCTCCGCATTGAGTGGTGACGTGTACTCGTACTTGCCTTTGATGGCGAGTGTGGGTGGTGAGTTGGCGCCCACCACACGTTTCAAGGTGTCCCTCCATTCTGTCACCAGCTTGTCATCGAAGGAGCAATGCGGGGTGCCGTAGGTCTCGGCGACCTTGAGCGCGTTGGGTCTCTTCCTGACCAGGGTTTCCCAGGCTGCACGGATTCTGACGCCCAAAGATCTCAGGCTTGAGTTCCCCTGAATGGCTTTGAAGGGGTTCCGCATTCCTCCCACGTATTCACTTTGTTCTTCTTCTATTGATGAGACATTCCTGGACCTCAGCATGCCGTGCTTGCCATCGCTGCCCACCCAGGTCTGAACTTTCGTGGCAGTGAGTGTTGCGCCTTCTAGATCTTCTCTGGATGGCATTCCTTCGTCACGTTGGTCTTCGTCCTGACTGGTGGTGGACGATTCATAGGTGTATTCGGATTTGGACTCGGACTTGGCCTTCGTGTCCTTGTGCTCGTCGATCACCTTTTGAAGCTTCTCCCTACGAATGGAGAGAAATTCCTCCTTTGCCATGAGCTCCAGCTGTGCCACCGCCAGTTTGGCATATTTGTCACAAAGTTCACCTGGGTACCTTCCTGAAGCTCGTGACTTTTCTTTCCCTACGATGAATTCATGGTTTGAGGATCCCCCACATTGGCACTCGCCCTTCAGCTCCTTCAGACCGATCATGCTGCCTGAAAACTGCTGTGGTTTGAAGTGACGTTTTCCCACAGGTAAATAGCTTTCGTAGCAACATGTGTTGAAGTGCACTGTGGAGACCTTCGGATCGTTGGTAAAGTCTTCCATCTCCGGAAGTTCCCACGCTGACAAATGTTCTTCCACGTCTGATGGCGGGGGTTTTCAAGAGTTGCAATGCTTTGGATCTTCCCTGGGCGATCACGATTGGCCACCGTCTTTGCCATGATGATGGCCCTCGACGCCAGGATGGTGCCCACGTCGCATTCTCTCTGTTCGGCCTCGGTGTTGGACTTCCTTCCATAAGGCTCCGACTTCGTTCGAACAGGTCTTGGAAGGCCCGGTGCTTGCCTGAACCGGAGTCTCGTGTATGTTCCACATGGAAACCCTGCGTGGTAAATGTCAATGTGGCCCCGCTTCGCCCAAAGTAAATGATCCTCATATGGTTTGTCTTTCAGAAGATCACCACTGCCAGCGTCTCTTTCCACGCTGTGAATCTTCAGCCGCAAACCTGCTGTTTCTGCATGGGCCTTCATCGCCTCCGACAGTGGGTCGTCCTTGCCTGCAAAATGATGGACGAAGACGAAAACCCGCCTGGTCTTGTATTCTTCCAGATCCTTTGCATCATAGATTGCATCCAAGGAATCAAGGTTGTCAGACTCCGGGCTGTCGGACTTGGAAACCTGCTTTCTGTTGGTGCCTTCCTTGGATGTTGCACTGCCTTTCACTAGATTCCTTCGTGGTGTCCTCGATCTCCCTGAGTCTTCTCCTCTCCCGCAACTCCTTACCCTTTCTTCTTGTTCGGACAAGATCTCGAAGGGTGACCTGGGGAATCGCATATGGTGCATTTGTGTTCCCTTGCGATCTTTGCGACGCAGGCTTGACCAGGCTGCAAGTCCCCACACGGTGAGTTTCCATTGTTCCAACTGTAACATTTCTGTTTCGAGTTCGGGTTCCCTCGTTTGTCTTGGGAACTCCTGGAAGCCCTCAGTTGAGCAAGTTCTTCTTTGACAGCTGCTGCTTTTCTTTTCCTTGCCTCCCTTCGTGCCTGTGTCCTTCTCCCTGGCGGTGAGTCGGTGGGCCCAGCACCTGAAGATGTCCCTTTGTTGCGATTGGACTCCAATGCCGGTGTGATGGCATCCAAACCTCCTTGAAGGCATTCGGCTGCCACTTGTTCTGCAGGGGTCCTCGGGATGCCCTTTGACCCTGCTGCCAACCACACCAGTGCAGGCCCGTGGACTTGGGCTTGCCAAAAACTCCGCATCCAGAACCAACATGCCGAAGACGAAGTCCCAAGGGCGATGAGGATCCCATGTAGGTGGCGGTGGTTTCCCAGCCCTTTCCTCCATCCTCACTTTTGAACGGATCCTGTTTGAGTGTGCACTCCTGGCCAATTCGTCTGCCGAGTAGATCAGATGCCAGGCTGAAGGGTAAAGGCGTGTGAGCCTTTCTATCAGCATCTCGTAGGAGTGTAGATTCGAAAGGCCCACCGCGTCCAGCATGATCAGGGAAGTTCGAAGTACCCGATAGCATGCACGCCACTGGACAAATGATGCCGGCCCTGGTAGCTCCTTGGTCGTGTAGCCGTTGGCCGTCAGGACGTGTGTCCGATACTTCGATGCTCTTGCCGCCTTCTGGCCATAGGGAACGTAGATGGCAAAGTCCGTGTAAGGGGCTATGTCTTGTATGTTGATGCGACGATGGAGGGCCGAGAGTTGTTCTATAGAGGGCTCTTCCTCTTCCATAGGCCAATCTCCCATCGCCTGCAGGTAGTTCTGGTACCACCTTGCTTTCATCTCCTCCCCTTCCACGTTGAAGTCGCCATCGTCCCCTTGATCGAGCACATTCGTCATCTTCAGCTTCCGGTCTGGTGATGCTTGGGCTTGAGGTGCAGGTTCTGGTGGAGGCCCGCTGTTCCCAAAGGGAGAGGTTTCTGTCCATCGCTCCCAATCTCCCCCAGCTGCAGTGTGCAAGATTCGCCGGGTGAGGCTGTAAACCAATCCCACATGAGATGCTTGGACTGCTGTCAGCGCTGTGCCATCGTGTAGGCGTGCACGTTCCAGGGCAGCACCTATCACAGGTGCTGGCAGGCTGCCCAAAAGTTTCAAGTCGTTGCCCGGGTCGCCGATCTGCTGGATGAAGGACGTCCATACCTCTTCGGGTAGGGCGTAGTGACGTCTGACGTCCGTCAAGGACTGCATCGCCATCCCAACCGGCTGAGCGGGAAACATGGCAACCCAACAGCAAACACAACAAAAACTTCATTGTGCCACTGCTGGGGGAGATCTTGAGCCAAAATGGCATCCCCAGCAGTGGCACTCTTTGTCACTTTGAAAATGTTCCATTTTCATGCACAACATGTTTCAACATGATACGATATAAGTAACTGTTTGATAAACAGCATATGTTGTTGCAACATGGAGATAGTCATCAAGGGGATATTCATCAAAGAGCTGTCATTGCATCAGGCCGAGACAAGCTGCACTTTTTACAGCCGCGGACCCGTCCAGTCGCCAGCCTGCAATTGGCAATTGGCGCCGGCAATCCGGCAATCCGGCAAGTCGCAAAAGTCCAGGCGCAAGTTTCTTTTTTCCTCCTTGGATTACCTCGTGTTATTTTCATGTCACACCATTTTCACACCATTTCACAGCTCATTGGTTTCTACCTGTGATGAATTGTGATGGTACATATTCAGTGAAAGCCACTGTTGTGAGACTGTTGTGTCGTTTTCACTGACGTCCAACAGATCAACGGATTCGGAATCAGTTCTAGGCCTGTAGAGCTGCAGCCAGGCCCTGAAGGGTGTTCAACTTCGACACAGGTCTATTGAGAGCTGTCACAAAGTTCAACATACAAAGTGTCTGTGTCAGAAAGCAGCTGATTCATGCTGATTCATGCTGATTCTCGTGTTGAAGATAACTCTTCAAGAAGAACGGTTTGCATATCATAGGCATATCATTGCCATCTGCCAATATCTGCCATCCCCAAAAATGCCACCGTCACCTGTAAACAGCGCAACACTGCAGCGGGGCTTCTGGGGGGCGCTGGCCTGAGACCATCACCGGAGCAGTGCTCCGCTGGAGCAGTGCTCCGCTGTGAACGCGCAAGATCTGGGGGGCCCCACGTGAGATCAGGTGGCGAAAACAGCTGCACCTGGCAAACCAATGGACATGTTGCCAACATGTTCCCAACATGTTCCCAACATCTTGTCAGGTCAAACACGAAACGAGATCTGCTGCAAACGCTGCAATGATTTTTTGAATCAACAGACATTGATGCCTTTCAAGAGACCGTCAAGAGATGTCAAGAGATATCTGCTCCGCTTCAGCTGGATCTCCCACCTGCTTCACACCGAGGGCACCGCATGCCTTGAGGAATTGACTGATTCGTCCCAGAGCAACTGGATTTGCCTGTGCCGCGTCCCAGCCACTCCAGGGTGCATTGCGGGTGCATCACAAATCTACACACTCAAAATCATGAAAATCAAAGACCGAAACTATAGTCACTATACATAGATGGACATGATGGACATGATGGACAACTAGAGATGCAATGCCAAAACAACGATGTGATTTCCAGGCAGAGAGAAGTTTTACGTTGACACGACGTCAACCCGACCCGTCCAACTTGTTCCAACGCCTTTGGCAAAATCTCTGGTTTAACCTCGAGGCTTGATGTGTGGAGCATAGGGCATGCTGATCTTTGAAAGAGAATCAGTCTGTGACATCTGTCACATCTGATTTTCACAGAGACAGATCCGAATTTTTGCTCCGATGGTCTTCGTTTCTGGATCCGTTGGATAGTCCGTTGGATGGTCCGTTGGATCCAAGGGGCTGCAATGATGAGAGCACACAAGACTTGCCCGTCCGACAGGTCATCCACTTTCAACTTCTCGGGATCCAGGCCGCCTGACTCCGGTCACTCCGGTCCGACTCCGGTCCGACTCCGGTCATGGTGAAACCCTTGGCATCGGCCCGTTCAAACATTGACACATATATTATCATATTAATTGACAATACGATGAGACATCTGATGAGATGATGATGAGATGACTGAGAAGAATGATAACATATGATAACATACAAAATGAATGAAGTGGAAATCAAGTGGAAATATCCATGTTTTTTTGACGTTTCGGATGCTGCAAAGTCCCGAAACTTAAGGCAAGGCCCAGCAAGGCCTAGCGGAAGAAGAGCCCTGACTCGTTTGGCGTGGGCAACCGGTAGTGGTACCTGACTCAGATGGACAACCGAGGTCACTAAGGATCTGCAAACGTAACAGCTATGCAGTCACAAGCAGGTGACTTGGAACATTTAATGAACTAGTCTTTGGAGTGACACATGACATGACTATGACATGATGACATGAGTATACTTTGGATATCTTTGGAGCCTCAAGGCGATCCTTGATCACTGCCTCAGGGCACATGCGCCAGGCACCCCCGACCCCCGGCTCTTGGTGCCAGGGCGCCAGGCAGCGCTCAAACAAAACTCTCCAAAACATGTCACGAAATATTCACCAAATATTCACGAATTACATTGGAGAGTTTTGCATCGAATTTCTGTGAATTGTTCCATATTGCTCCTACGCAATTCCTTTTGCAGCATCAGAGGCTCCCGCACAAATCCACCGAAGAGCTAACCTGAGACGCTGACACACAGACCAAACTGGACGTCTCCGAAGGAACTCTCAATACCCGAGTTTTCTAACAGCTCCATATCCTCAATTATCAACAGAAATCAACATCTTGCATTCATCTTGCCACATTCATCTTCCCACATATTCTTGCCAGACATATTGCCAGACATATTGCCAGACATATTGCCACATGATAAATCATTATAAATCATTCAATAAATCATTCAGTAAATCATCATATAAATCATTCAATAAATCACATGATGAATATCACAGCATCGAATCACATCTTGCCACTTTGTTCGGATTCCACTGCTCGCACTGCTCACACCTCCAAGGATCCGGTGGGGTGGACCGCCGTCTCAAGCCTCAAGCAACAAAAGCCGCCCCGATGCAACATGTGCAACATGGATAATTTCTAGATATCAATGGATAATTTCTGGAAAATGAATGAACATGATATAAATTATGATAGAAACAAAAATATAGAAACATATTTGAGGAGAAAACTGGAACACAAGTGATTGATGTATCACATTTTAGTGGCACATATCTCTCATCCTGCACTCTCGTTTCCAAGGTCCACGAGCCTAATTCAGGGCTTGCATGGACTTCTATGTCTTCTTCTTCTTCCTCCTCTTCCTCTTCTTCCTCTTCGTCTTGATCCTCAACACCCAAGGAAACCATCCAGTAGACTCAGTAGACTCACAAAACAATGCAGGACGTACAAAAGCAAGCAACATAGCTCCTGAACGACATCTCCCCCACTCGCTCGTGGTGGAGGATGGAAGGAATCCTCTTCTTTCTTGTCAGTTTGAATTTGTTCTCCTGCCACATCGTCTGCTTTTCCTGCTTGCTCTGGTTCTGCTGCATCTGCAGGCTTTTCTGCTTGCTCTGGTTCTGCTGCTGCTTCGTCGGGCTTTTCTGCCTGCTCTGGTTCTGCTGCATCGTCGGGTTTTTCTGCCTGCTCTGGTTCTGCTGCATCAGCAGGCTTTTCTGCTTGCTCTGGTTCTGCTGCATCTGCAGGCTTTTCTGCTTGCTCTGGTTCTGCTGCTTCGTCGGGTTTTTCTGCCTGCTCTGGTTCTGCTGCATCTGCAGGCTTTTCTGCTTGCTCTGGTTCTGCTGCATCGTCGGGTTTTTCTGCCTGCTCTGGTTCTGCTGCATCAGCAAGCTTTTCTGCTTGCTCTGGTTCTGCTGCATCTGCAGGCTTTTCTGCTTGCTCTGGTTCTGCTGCTTCGTCGGGTTTTTCTGCCTGCTCTGGTTCTGCTGCATCGCGGGCTTTTCTGCTTGCTCTGGTTCTGCTGCATCGTCGGGCTTTTCTGCTTGCTCTGGTTCTGCTGCATCTGCAGGCTTTTCTGCTTGCTCTGGTTCTGCTGCTTCGTCGGGTTTTTCTGCCTGCTCTGGTTCTGCTGCATCAGCAAGCTTTTCTGCTTGCTCTGGTTCTGCTGCATCTGCAGGCTTTTCTGCTTGCTCTGGTTCTGCTGCTGCTTCGTCGGGCTTTTCTGCTTGCTCTGGTTTTGCTGCTGCTTCGTCTGGCTTTTCTGCCTGCTCTGGTTCTGCTGCATCTGCAGGCTTTTCTGCTTGCTCTGGTTTTGCTGCTGCTTCGTCGGGCTTTTCTGCCTGCTCTGGTTCTGCTGCATCTGCAGGCTTTTCTGCTTGCTCTGGTTCTGCTGCTTCGTCGGGTTTTTCTGCCTGCTCTGGTTCTGCTGCATCTGCAGGCTTTTCTGCTTGCTCTGGTTCTGCTGCATCTGCAGGCTTTTCTGCTTGCTCTGGTTCTGCTGCTTCGTCGGGTTTTTCTGCCTGCTCTGGTTCTGCTTCATCGGCAAGCTTTTCTGCTTGCTCTGGTTCTGCTGCTGCTTCGTCGGGCTTTTCTGCTTGCTCTGGTTCTGCTGCATCTGCAGGCTTTTCTGCTTGCTCTGGTTCTGCTGCTTCGTCGGGTTTTTCTGCCTGCTCTGGTTCAGCTGCATCTGCAGTCTTTTCTGCTTGCTCTGGTTCTGCTGCTTCGTCGGGTTTTTCTGCCTGCTCTGGTTCTGCTGCATCTGCAGGCTTTTCTGCTTGCTCTGGTTCTGCTGCTTCGTCGGGTTTTTCTGCCTGCTCTGCTTCTGCTGCATCTGCAGGCTTTTCTGCTTGCTCTGGTTCTGCTGCTTCGTCGGGTTTTTCTGCTTGCTCTGGTTCTGCTGCATCTGCAGGCTTTTCTGCTTGCTCTGGTTCTGCTGCTTCGTCGGGTTTTTCTGCCTGCTCTGGTTCTGCTGCATCTGCAGGCTTTTCTGCTTGCTCTGGTTCTGCTGCTTCGTCGGGTTTTTCTGCCTGCTCTGGTTCTGCTGCATCTGCAGGCTTTTCTGCCTGTTCTGGTTCTGCTGCATCTGCAGGCTTTTCTGCTTGCTCTGGTTCTGCTGCATCTGCAGGCTTTTCTGCTTGCTCTGGTTCTGCTGCTTCGTCGGGTTTTTCTGCCTGCTCTGGTTCTGCTGCATCTGCAGGCTTTTCTGCTTGCTCTGGTTCTGCTGCATCTGCAGGCTTTTCTGCTTGCTCTGGTTCCGCTGCTTCGTCGGGTTTTTCTGCCTGCTCTGGTTCTGCTGCATCTGCAGGCTTTTCTGCTTGCTCTGGTTCTGCTGCATCTGCAGGCTTTTCTGCTTGCTCTGGTTCTGCTGCTTCGTCGGGTTTTTCTGCCTGCTCTGGTTCTGCTGCATCTGCAGGCTTTTCTGCTTGCTCTGGTTCATCGGCAGGCTTTTCTGACTGCTGGTGTTTTTTCGTAGCTAGTTCTACGGGCGTCGAATGTTCTTCAGGTGGTGTGTCCTCTGATTTTTCTAGTTGGGAATTTCTTTTGTCAGGAACCACGTCCTGCAAATGGCATGGCTAGTCAGCCAATCATTATTTCAGAAGAACTGCAAATGCGCTTTTTCAGACCTTCAAACCGTTTGGTCAACAACATTCAACAACTGCTTAATTTCCATGATGAGTGCTCTTACAAAGACCCAAAGACTGTGTTTTCAGATGCTTTGACGTGGCAGTCCATAGGTTCCTTGTTCCCATTGGCCCATCATGTGCAGTCCATAGGTTTCTAGATTACTATAGTAGTTGCTACATACCACTGCGACGGTTGGAACTTCCAAGCCTTCAAGAGATCTTCCAAGCCTTGGAACGGTGTGAAGGACATGATTCAACATGTTGATTCAACATGTTTCAACATGTCTCAAACATTTGGCAGAAGGGGATGAACATGCAACAAAACTGATTTTCGTTCTGTGTTTTAGGACCAGAAAAATCGGATGTCAACTTCGGCAGTTTCTCTTTGAACATTTGGAATTTGGCACTTCTTTGGCACATGTCAGGTGTGACACAGTGTGACAAGCTGCGACACAACTGCGACACAGGGTGACAGAATGTGCACAGAAATGTCTTAAGCATCCGACACTCTTGGCATTTGACTTTCCCTCGCTCTTTGGCAAGATCCAGTGCACTCTGCGATGACCTGGTGACAAGTCAAGGTGGGGCAGAAAACATGCAACATGTTGACACATTCCGGAAACATATGAAATGTATTGAAATGTATTGAAATGTGAATCACAATGTGAATGCAATCCTTTTCTCAAACCAGAATTCATTGAATTATATTGAAACCATGACATATACGAATAATTACATCTAATTACATGCAGAGCTGTCCTGCAAATCTTTCTTGGGCTTTGTGGGTCTGAACAGGAAAATCATCGGATAATCTAATGGTCTATTATCTACGTCTATCTAATAGGCAAGTCCGGCAAGAGCCAAGACAGATTTAGTGCAGAATTTGTGCCAAGAGCACCACAGTGAATCACAAGTGTTCCGGAACTGGAGAAACTGAACCAGCAAGGTTTTGCACTTGTGCAGCTCTCGTAGCGGGTCTCAATTCTTTCGCCTACTCTCACGTGTACACCCTTTTCCTTGCCCAAAGCTACACATGACATAGACCCACTGGAAGCTTTATGCATGGTTTTGGCAACCTGACAGGCTCTTCACACACAACCGGGATATGACATGCTCCAAATCCTACAATGTTTCACATGATCCGGGTGAAATTTGAAGAGTGGACCCAAAATCAAAGGGAGGTGGATGGTGTCAAGTGAGTCAAGAGTGACTTAAGATGCACATAAGTACAAACGTCACATCTGTCACACCTGTGATATATTCATATTATAATAACTTATAGACTTATAATATACAATTTTCAATTACGCCATGTTTCAAAATGTCACAAAACCAACTGCTCTGAGGGACTTGTTGCGAGCTGCTCGTATGTCCAGGCCCGTAGCTGCAAGTGCCCGCACCTGTCCGACTTTCGCCCCAGACAAAAATCGAAACGAAAGAATAATTACACATATGAAATTGTGAAATATCACAAGTTATTCAAAAAGAGTTTGAACATGTCAACATGTTTGAAACCTTTGACAGTTGGCGAAAATGATCTAAAAATCCTTGCAGAAAGGAGCTTCACGATCCCAAATCCTCCAGATCCTTCAGATCCTCCCATCGTCTTCGTCTCATCCCATCCGTTGTTTTGTTCTGTGCCGGTCCTGCTGGGCGTCGTCCTTCATGATGGCCCGGAAGAGCTCCACCGTGAGCTCCGCGTCCGCATCCGCCTTGTCCCCCTTTTCGGGCTCCTCGGCAACGGAAACCAGATGAAACCAGATGAAACAAGGCACTAAGAACAAAACGGTGCTGAGCCGAACAGTAAAACACAAAATCCTTTTCCCCCGGACAAAACACAAAATCTCGGAGCTGAACAGGGACAAAAACAGAGACAGTCCAAATCTCGGTCCTTCGCCTTCTCCTTCAGGCTTTCTCGCGGCCTGAAAAAATTGGAGAAAATTAGAGAAAAAGAAAACACATGGAAAAACTCTGCAAATATCTTGAATTAAAATTAAAATTAAAATATTTAGCTTTGTGTCGTTTCTCACTCGCCAACCAGTGCATCGCACCATCGCACCATCGCACCTCTCAGCTTTGGATTGAGGCTTCGCCAGCCTGTGACAAAAACGCAGCACATGTAGAGCTTTTGTACGCAGACTCAGCAGAGTTCCCGTCTTACAGTCTATCAGATAGTCTATCACAGTCTATCACAGTCTTCATCCTGCTGTGCTGGCAGTTATTGTTTTGTGCTTCTCATGTCCTCTTCATGTCGAGCCTCTCCAGAAATGCCTTGACCTGAAACAAAGCTGTGGAAAAGTTGTCATGACAATGCAAACAAGGAAAAAGAAACGAAACTAACGGCATTTGTCAACAGAGAAATGGAATGTCAGGAACGAATCAGAGATACTGAGTCAATTGGCAAACAAAAACCTCGAATCGGGTGACCTAGATGTTGTTTTGACACAAGAACACTTGTGATGTTTTCCTACAACGGTTCATAAGGGTTCATTATCTGATGTTTTCACCTGCGGCTTGTTCCTCTCCTTGGCGAGCTGCAATGGCCTGGGTATCAGAAGATATGAGAAGCACTGGGACAATATCTGCTTCAAAGCATTCGTGAAACGTTCCGTCATGTTCTGTCTCGTGTCATGTGCAAACATGACGGAACATATCCAAACCGTCCATACCCAACGACCACTTCACTGTTTCTGTGACTGGCTCCTGTTGGCTGAGCCGGAGTCGTTTGCTTTGCTGGATTTTTCAAAGTCAGAGCATCTAGATTTGACCTTGAGGGGCTAGCACGCTAGCACATGTCGCAAAGCCATTTTTGAAACGATGCAACATGTACAAATCTCAAAGTGACGACCCACATCACCACTGTGCAATAGAACCAACATGAACTAAATATTGAAACATCTCCAGGAGAATTTCTCAGCGGATCAAGTGGCAGAGTTTGAACATTTTGAAGCAGCTCGACTAGCAGCTGTTGCAGCTGTTGCAGCTGTTGCAGCTGTTGCAGCTGTTTGCTGATCTCTTCAAGTGGCTCTTCCAACAGCTGCTTCAAGGACTCCACATCATCGCGCATGACAGCCTTTGCGTCGAAAGGGAAATGGCAGCACGGGCAGTGAAGAACCAAGGACTACAGTGACTACAGTAGTGACCAAAACATACCAAAACTGTCAAGACCTTTGCACAAACAGTGGCCAAACCTATGTTGATTGCCAACGGAGGTTGGTGAAGCGCGACACCACGAGCAAACGAACCGAGCTTCTTCATGCTTATTCAATGTCATGAATATAGCAGGTGTTTTTTGAGTGCCCAAAGCTGGCCTCATGCCCAGTGCCAAGAATTCAGACAAGTGGCTCTTCGTATATGCTCAATCCCCCAAGGAACTTATGTGCTTGAAGCTTGATATTTTTTGTGACTTGCAGAGAAGAATGCATGTTAATTTTTTTCCGTTCAAACAGCAACATTCCTGCACAACACTAAACATGCTTCAAAAGTGCAGCATTTCTCACTAGATGTAGCATTCCTGGAATCAAGCGCCGTCTTTATCCAAAGAATAATCCTTCAATGTAGGTTGCATGAGTACCTGCAAATAATTCAGTCTTTTGAAGAAGTAGTTGAATAGTACTGTATCCCCTTTCTAACAAGGCGATTTCTAATCCAATGTGCTCTGAACATACAGTGGAAGAATGCTGTGTTCTTTACAATGATTTCGCATGCCCTGCTTTTCAAGAAGCACCGTTCATTCAAGCTGCAATCTTTCTTTGAGAAAGTAGAGAGAACATGCATTAGTTATCATTAGTTCTTTCAAGGAGCAATATTATCAATATTCTTGCAAAGTATGAAGCGTCCATCTAAAGGATGATCTTTTTGGAAGAAGTGCGGTCTTTTCCTGTTCTTGGAAGGATCGCTACGCTTTTGAAGGAACAATTCCACTTTAAAAAAAAAATGCACATTTTCCAAGGGGATACCGCATTCATAGAAAAGATCCCTGAACAGAGAATTCAAAATGATAGACTCCGTTGCATAGTTTGCAAGAACATGTATATACAAATATATCATATCCTTAAACATGTTCTTGTCTCATAGTTTACAATTGCTTAGAAAGGACTACTGAATCGAAATATCCAAAGCATAGTGTGGCACATGGAGTGCAAACAGCGATGCACTTTCGTTTTTTTCCTTGGACCGAAGTGCTTGTTGTGGGCATTGAACACCTAGTTTTGGAGATATTCGCTTATTCTGGGGTGAAACTTGGCTCTTCCATGCTCACAACAAATCGTTTTCTCCTCGGGCATTTGGGTGTATCCTCAGGATGATGCAATGCTATTAAAAAAAGACAATCTTCAGGCTAGTCCCCAAGACATTGCTTTGCTTTGTTTTTTTTGTTTCTGTAGATGTTTATTTGTTTTCCTTGGTTCTTGTGTTTTTTGTTTTCGGAGTTTCCAGACTAATCTTGTGTCTGAGTCATCATTTAGTTCATCCAGTGTGGCTTGTGAAAGCCGTGGCTCTGGTCTGTTCAAGCAAACAATCCCTGCAAACCATGTACGATGAAAAAACTTACAACATCTATGCCTTGATGTTCAAGAAAACATCAAAGCTGTGATATGTGATTGGGCGTGCAAGAAATGTCAAGTGATCTTGCCGTCCTCAACAAGGGCAAGACCTACAAAATTTCAGTGTGACGGAAAGCCCTGACTCTTGGCGTGCAGCTTTCGCACTGAAGACTCCACAAAGTGAGCTTTGCGTCCCACCCATCGTTCAAAGATTTCATCGACATATATCGACATCTATATAAAATTTCAATATTCCATCATATTCCATCCCCTGAAACTGGCATTGGCTGCAAGGAAGAGTTAGGAAGAGTCTGCAATCGCTCCTTTTCGTCAGTTCTCCTCAGACCCCCGCGCGGAACACCTCTTTGATCGCAGCATCGTCCTTGCATGACTACGCAAGCAGTCGAAGTTGGATTGAAAACAGCAAACGTAAATTTGATTGAACGTTGTGTCAGTATGGCCAGTATGGAGAGGATGAAGAAACCAAGCAAAGACAATACAACCAGGTCGATCGAATCTTGGTGCTTCCGGCGTCCTTAGCCATGTCTAGCGTCCTTGGTGACGAGGGGCACAATGCATGCCCTGTCTGGAGTGAATTTGCTGTAAATGACTCAGGATCTCACAAATCGCATGGTATGTTTGTGTATGTTCGTGACTCTCAACATCTCTGAACATCTCTGAACAGGGACTTGCACCTGATGCTCATCCCCTAGTATATCCGGGGATTCTTTGCATCTCTGATTTCTATTACGCTGTTATACTATCATTTTCATATGTTCATGTCGTTTCCAAACCTTCTGTTGCTTGACTGTCGCGCTCTTAAGGCTAAGGATCACATTGAGGCCATCAGCCTGAAAGGACCACGTTGACCAGAGATGATCAAAAATGGTGCAGTGCACGGCATATGTGGCTCTCAGGCTGCGCAAAACATGCAACAAGGAAACAAGGAAACAAGGAACATCAAGGAACACACACAGGTTGACTGGATGGAAAATCAACACGGGGAACCATCAAACATGCTGATTTCATGTCTAGCCTTCAAATCCTTTTGCTCCAAACCCTTTCAGCTGCCCATCACATGGAACCAGACTCCAGCGGTGCTGACATGCACTGACATGTGTGCATCAATTGCATCAAGCCACTTTTGGTCAGCAAATTGAAATCATGAATCTCCACATTTGCTAGTGCTTGCAAGCATCCGAGATGTTCGTTGATGTGTTTTTTGCAGTTTTAGTTTGTTGATGTTTGTTGTCACATGGCCACTGATAGTTCAGATGGTTTGTTGTCAATGGGTTTGCATGGTGGTTTTGGTGACGCTAACCAGTCTTGGGAACTTGGATCCAAAACAGGCGAAATAGGCTTGCTGCACATGGATCACATGGCGCTGTCGCACTGGTGGCTTTCAGAAATTGCCGTTGACTGTTGTCAATCCCAACATGGCACGTTCCTATTCAATCTCTATGGGTGAAATTTAAAAACGGAAAAAGGTCCAGTTGATGGGTGCAAAAACACGAGGTTGCGCACACCTGCTTGCACCCTGATTAAACCCTAGGTATTGAGTCTCACTAGTCAAGCATCGACGCTTGCCCGTCGAGTGCTCTTTAGTGACCTGCTCAGTTTGACTTGGTGACTGAAGATTGCGAAGTTCGGAAGTTGTTGTTAAACATGTATCCCAGTAGTACCGCACAAGGCGGTGGCGGAAGTTTCAAAAGTAGGAAACCTATAGGAGAGGTTGGTTGTTGTGAATCGGGGATGGCAGAGCGAAGCCACTGATGGACTGAAAGGTGCTTGAGGTCTCCTCTCTTTCTCTCTCTTTCTCTCTTTTTATCCCTGTTTCTCTATCTTTCTCTGATTATCTCCCTACCTACCTACTGATCTATCTGTCTACCTATCTATCTGTCTGTCTGTCTATCTATCTCCCTATCTATCTATCTATCTACCTATCTACCTATCTACCTATCTACCTATCTATCTATTTATCTAGCTGTCTCTCTATCTATTTGTCTATCTGTCTATCTGTCTATCTGTCCATCTATCTATTTATCTATCTATCTACCTATCAATCAATCAATCTGTCTAGCCGTCTATCTATCTACCTACCTATCTATCTATCTAACTATCTATCTACCTACCTATCTATCTATCTACCTATCTATCTATCTACCTATCTACCTACCTATCTACCTATCTACCTATCTGCCTATCTACCTATCTACCTACCTGCCTACCTACCTATCTATCTATCTATCTCTCTCTCTCTCTCTTTCATCTGTCTATCTGTCTAGCTGTCTACCTGTCTATCTGTCTATCTATCTATCTACCTGTCTATCTGTCTAACTGTCTATCTGTGGTGCAGTGTCATTCAGTGTAATGTAATGTAGTGTAATGTAGTGTGGCGTAGTGTAGTGGAATGTAGTGTAATGTAGTAGTGTAGTGTAATTTAATGTAGTGGAGTGTAGTGGAGCGTAGTGGAGTGTAGTGGAGTGTAGTTGTGTAGTTGTGTAGTTGTCAAAGGAAG